ATCCATCTTTCTTCACTTTTTGCCGTCTGGGGGGAGCAGAGATCCAACCCCCTGTCTTGCTCTCTCTCCTCCTCCCTCCTTCCTCCTCTCTCTCTCCTTCCATCCCTCTCCCTCTTCTCTTGCCTCTCTCCCCCTCTGCCCCCACCCTTTATCCCTTTGTTCCCTCCCTATCCTCCTTCTCACCACCACCTCCTTTTTTAGCTCGTTACAAAGCCTCATAGGTTTTGAGTGGTCTGCCTCTAACTAACCTGTGTGTTTTATGAAGTCCTATTATTTTTAGTGAACTATTTTGCAGAGGTTTTTAAAAATTTTTTTCAGGAACACATATATTACCTCATAGCAGATACTTCATTAGATAAAATTAAAATTTTGGCTGTTATTTACTGTATATGGCAAAACAAAACTAAAAAATGTATAATAGTATACATATCAATTAAAAAATGATAGGCTTTAAAAAGCAGACTATTGTTTAGACTTGAACTGTATATAATTATTTTGAGAAATTTTCTTGGGGTTTCAAATGACAGCATTTAGTAGTTTCCTTCTGTCTATTGGATTTTAGGAGAACAAAATTTCATAGGTTATGTTAAACCCGGTAGTGCTAAAACTCATTGCTAACTTTGTTGGGGTTTTTGAATTTAAAATGCCTTTAATGTACATCTTAATATTTTTCAAGGTAAATGATGTCTATTCTACAATGTTGATATGAAAAACAAAACATACTCTTGTATGTAACTAATGAGCCCTTCCTTTCTCCTGTCAGCGGCAACCTTTGGCACTGCATCCATGAGCATGCCCGCAGGGTTCGGCACTCCTGCTCCCTACAGTCTTCCCACCAGCTTTAGTGGCAGCTTCCAGCAGCCTGCCTTCCCGGCCCAAGGAGCTTTCCCTCAACAGACAGCTTTTTCCCAACAACCCAATGGTAAGATCTAACATTTGGCTAGCAGGAAGTCCCCTTTAGGAATCCTTTATGTATTGTAATGTTATGTGCTTGGGGGGCACAAAGACTTTGCTAAAGAATGCTGTAGTGTTATCTATTGAGTGTTAACTACACAAAAACAGAAGCCTTTAGTGATTTAGGCCTCAGATAACTGAGTGATTTAGTAAATTGTTGTGATCAGATGACAGATTTAGGAGAAATCAGTGACATCTAAAGAGTAACCCTTTGTTCTCAGAATTTCTATTGTCTTTTTAATTTGTCTTATGTGTTCTAATATGCCTCTTGATTTTAAAAGACTTTATAGACCTAGTGTGTTGGGGTTTTTTTCCTTCATCACAAAAATGTTGCTTGTGTACTTTTTTTATGTAAGGATTTGTGTGTTGTATGTGTTTGTAAAGTAGACTACTTTTCTAATTAGTTAGCCATACTATAGTTGGAGTTTATTGTTTTTAGGAAGAGGAGGAAAGATTCACTTGACCATTTTTTTAACCTATTTCTCTCACTTCCTAAAATTTGAAGTCCATAGATTTGAAGATTATTCTTGAATTACAACTACATCTTTTCTTTATTAAAGTCAGTGGTTATTTAAAAATTTGTAAGTATGGTCCATGGAAGAGCCATAAATAGTAAAATATTTCTTGAGACATACTGTGATGTTCACATAGATATTGTGTTGTCTGCATAGCCCCCCCCCAAATAGTCAAATGCTCACTCATCTATTAATTAAATCCTATGAATGTCAATGATTTACACAGTTGAGAGGAGTTGGAATTAACCTTTTCTGAAGAGCTGAATGAAAGCTCTTTAAGACGTGCCACAGGAAGTTAGTTTGTGATATCTGAAAGAGCATGAAACCTAACAATTTAACCGTAATATTTATTTTTGCTGCTTTGGTAGGAATTTCTTTGAAAGTTATTATTAGGCTTTATAAGTAGCAGGTTGTCTCTTAAAGACATATAATGGTTATAATTGGTGATTTCTGTTTTTAACAAGGTGCAGGTTTTGCAACATTTGGACAAACAAAGCCAATGGTAACACCTTTTGGTCAAGTTGCGGCCGCGGGGGTATCTAGTAATCCTTTTATGGTAAGTGAAACTCAATTTTAAGCACTTTATAAGTTGTTGCATCTTATTTTCACATTAGGAAAATAGACTCTAATAGTATTCACATCCTATGTATCCTGGTAGGATGTATGTGAATACTATTTGATGCTATTTGGTATTCTTTTTTTTTTTCTTTTGAAATTTTTTTAGCATTTTTTAACTTCTTTCTTATAGCCACTAGATGACTACGATATTTGGTATTCTATTGATATGACATCATAAGATTATACAAATTGAGACAGAGCCAGTGCATGATCCTTTTCTGACTTTTTAAAAGAAAAAAAAATTGGTCAGTTACAAATCAAAGCATTGACAGTAAACTATTTTATAATATAAAACATACCTGCTTTCTTGTCACAATAAGACTTTATGAGAGGTCTTAGGAATTAGTGAACAGTACGAAAGGGAGTCTTGGAGTCAGAGGTTTTCTTTGAATCACAAGTGCTTTTCTTTTTAGGGCCAAGTTTCTTCTTAGAATCTATTACAAGAATTGTATGAAATAATGGACATACAGACATAGCACAGTGCCTGATACATAATAGTTTTATTATAGTATGTTGCGAATAACAATGATGAATAAATACTATTGCCAATAATAATAAAATAATTGTTAATCTAAATAAAGTTTAATTAAATAAGATTAAATTGGATACAGGTTAATATTTTGTATTTTGTACACATAATACTTTCATCTGTTTATTTATTTTGTCTTATATTTTCCTTTAGACTGGTGCACCAACAGGACAATTTCCAACAGGAAGCTCATCAACCAATCCTTTCTTATAGCCTTATATAGACACTTTACTGGAACGAACTTTTATGTGGTCACATTACATCCTCTCCACCTCTTGCACTGTTGTCTTGTTTCACTGATCTTAGCTTTAAACACAAGAGAAGTCTTTAAAAAGCCTGCATTGTGTATTAAACACCAGGTAATATGTGCAAAACGGAGGGCTCCAGTAACAAGTTTTAACCTGTGAATTGGCAGAAAAAGGTAGCGGTATCATGTATATTAAAAATTGGCTAATATTAAGTTATTGCAGATACCACATTCATTATGCTGCAGTACTGTACATATTTTTCTTAGAAATTAGCTATTTGTGCATATCAGTATTTGTAACTTTAACACATTGTTATGTGAGAAATGTTACTGGGGAAATAGATCAGCCACTTTTAAGGTGCTGTCATATATCTTGGAATGAATGACCCCAAATCATTTTAACCATTGCTACTGGAAAGTTACAAAGTCAAAATTGGAAGATTTTATTCATTCTTGAATTTTTCCTTTCTAAAGAGCTCTTCTATTTATACATGCCTAAATTCTTTAAAAATGTAGAGGGATACCTGTCTGCATAATAAAGCTGATCATGTTTTGCTACGGTTTGCAGGTGAAAAAAATAAATATTAGAAAATATGCTATTGTTTTTGTGTTCTTGCTGCAATGCCTTTACCAAAGTGGCCTTAAATATGAGTAGTGAATTGAGAACATCTTGAATTCTTAAAAGATTTCTAGTGACTAACTTTTTATTAAAAGGCCATGTAGAAAATTTATTAAAACTACTTTGACTGCTATATTCAGGAATATGACAATGGTAAAGCATTTAAATGTAGCTTGTCAGATTTACTGTAATCCTTCTAATTTCTTTGCAACTTCTTAATTTTGGTAAATTTGTATATATAAAGAATTTGCATGTATGTGTATTTACCAATTTTTCTAAGTATCTTGAATTCTCAGACTGCAAAAGGCCTATTTTAACTATTGATTTTTTTAAAAAAAAATTGTCGTTGAATGTATTGGAAGTAGACATGCATTAACTGTGACATGATTGCACCTCAGTTTTTTTCTTTTTTGGACAAACTGATATAATCTATATGACATTTGTTTCTGTTTGTTTTTGGGGGGAAAGAAACTGGAACCCAGTGTTACCTTGAAGTCATGGAATACTTGTTTAAAAAGACAGAGTTACTAAGTTCAGTTATATCTTTTTTGTTAATATTCAAATTAACTTGTTTAAATATTTATGTATAAGTAATGCCTCATTCATCCAGAGATAATCTGGCAGTCTCATCAAAATGAAATTTAATTAAAAAACTTGGAATCGTTTTTTAAAAAATGCCTCTGAGCAAGCCACATGAGTCACAAAGTATATATGTTAGAACTCATGCATTTGTTTTTATGTGAGATTTTAATAATTTTGATTATTTGATTTCTCAGCCCATCACATATTAGCAGTTGAGAAGGGATGGCTTGAAAGGAAGGAAACTGAAAAAACTATGAGGAGCATACACTGTCCAAAAACATTTAGTGTAGGGACAGCCAGCCAGCCTGGAGGACATCACTGCTTTACGTCATCTTCTGAGAATTGTCCTTTATTATGCCTCTGGGTCATCAAGAAAGGGTGAATTGCATATGCAAATATGTAATACATGTTTGAAAAGTTTTATCTTAAAATGATTAAAATTTTTTAAAAAGCTTTGGTATTAAAAGAGGTAAACAGAAGTTTCCTCAAACATTTTATTCATGTTGAATGCCTTTTGCAATGATGACTACATGAGTTGTTGTAGTATTTTAAAATCTGTATAGTGTTTTAGACTTGTTAAAACATTGCTGTCCCGTGTACATCTAGCTCAACGTCTGGTTTATTGGAACCATTTTGATAAGCAAGATGACTGGAAAATCTCTACCCCTTTCTGAGCAGTATATGCTTCTTCTCTTAGAATTAAATGAATGCTGCACAGGTCCAGATGTATGTTGGTATAGCCTTGAAATGTCTCTACATTTTGGGGGACTTCTTCAGCCCCTTTTTCATGGAGGGAAAACTTAGGAAATGTCTTCGAATTTCTGTTTTAGATTGTATTGGATCCCAATTAATTCATATGTACAAAGTTATGCTATATAATTGTAGGCCATTATCCAAATAACCCACCAGGCTTTCCATCTAAGAAGTAAATTAAATAGTTGTTATCAAAATAATTTTGAAGACTATTTTTTTCTGGGTATATCTTGACATTTGTAATTCAGTGGGAACACTTTTAAATGAGTGCTATAAAATCAAAATGTTTAGTTTAAGAGATCCAGCTTTAGAGTGGTTTCTCTAATGATATTTACTGTTTATTTTTTAAAATCTGTTGTTATATCTTGATATTTATATTTGCTTCTAGTTTTATATAGACTGTCAAAATTCTATTGAGTACTAGAAAGGTGACAGGGTGACAAGACTGAAGACCTTCAAACTTCCTGAATTACTAGTTGAATCATTTGCTTTCTTGTTCTATTTTTGTTTGGGAAAGAAATTTGTCTTTTCTTTTAGGGTGACAAACTTTGTTGATACAGTTTAAAGGTATGTTTTGTTCTTATTTTTTGAAATAGAGAATATTTTATTCTCTATTTTTATGAAAATGGAGATTAGGTTATTACTTCCTTCCTTAAAATAAGCCCTTCTGTAAATTTGAAAAAGCTTTACCTGTGAAGTACCCTTGCCCCCAGTACATACCCTCTTTGGTACAGTTCCTGTAAACTGGCAGAATGGGGAGTGTAAACTGGCTGCTGCTTTACCACTGTACCAACAATTCTGAAACATTTTGGTTTCCGGACTATAACTCTTAAAAATTATTGAAGATCCTCAAAGTGCTTTTGTTTATGTAGCTTACATCTATCATAATTTACTGCATTAAAAATTAATACTGAGAAATTTAAAACATGATTGTTCATTTAAATATAACAATAAATCCACTAGTTGTTAACCTAAATAACATTTCTGGTGAAAAATAGTTGTTTTCCATAACAAAAACTAATGAGAGCAGGAGCATTGTTTTATATTTTGCACATCTTTTGAAATATCTGGCTTAATAAAAGCAGTGAGATTCTCATACTGCTTTTGCATCTTTTTTTTTTTTAAATATCACACAGCACATAGACAACAGAAAACTCCATTGTGCACTTGTGAAATCTTGAGAGTGAAAAAGACATATGACATCTTAGTATTATTATGAAAATATTTTAACTCTGTATAGCCCTTCAAAGGGTCTTGGACCCTTCAAGAGTCCCCAGACCACACTTTGAGATCCACTATACTTTAAATTTGTGTGTTTCTAGAATAGTATTTACTAGTAGGGTGAACATACTACTACTTGAATCTCTGAGTTTTTTTGTTTGTTTGATGGGATAAATGGAAATTGCAAACTTTTTAACATTGTTTACTTCAAAGTAATAATACTGGTGGTATTAATGGAGTATGGTTTATTAAGCCCTTTCAGTGTATCACACACTACTTGCCAAACATTTTTCATATATCATCTCATACAGTCCCTGCAGTGGACCTATACTTTCAGAATGAAAGAAGAAGGCATAGAGAGAGGTTAAGCTAGTGATAGCTTTTGCCCTACAGAGCAAGTATTTTATTATTGGATTAAAATGCTATCACATTATATGTGAATAGATTCTTTGTTAATCTTTTGAAATTATGAGAAAGTTACATTCTACATCTTAAATATATATAAAAACCTAATCATTTAATTTCAGTTCCTTTCATAATTTGATGAAATTAGTACAGCTTATTCTCTAGGGTTTTATTTAAACTTTAGAAGTAAATGAATAGGGTAATGAGTGGAGCATGTGTTAAAGTGAAGATGCATCTGAAGTATCACCATGACTTCTATTTTGTGAGCATTCCACCTTTATTGATGTAGTTTGTACCCTATACAATATTAAAATTTACTTTTAATATGATGTTATTAAAATTTGTATTAAATTAACCTGTTGTATTGATTTCATCCTCATTAGTTAAGCTTCGCTTTGTATATTTTAAAATACAGCGTTATTAAACTTTTTATGCGGTTGTATTTGAACAAATATATGACCATGATGTAATCAGTGTTGTGCTGGTGAATATTAACAGCCGTCTTTCATGAAAGAGAAAGGTCCCTGTTTTGTAGTGTTTATTGATGTTTGTGGTGTAAGTATTCTCACCACAGCTGATTTTACCAACCAGTCTGATTTCATTAAACGTAGTTTGAGTGTCTCTCAAGCCTTTGTAAGCCAGCTCCAGCACAGCGCTGACATGATTCCACGGCTCATTTGTTAAATTTGTTGGTCATTTGATGATTATACCCAATATTTAGAGAGCTTTTGTTTTATATTGTCGATTCATTCAGCAAGCATTTGGATGCTAGTTCATTTCTAGAAATATGCTGGGCACTGAGGTATTTATTCGCAAAAGACTCAAGTATTTGGAACCCTGTTTTTAAAGTCTTAAGTGTTAGTATAGGAGTTGCAGATTCTCAATTCTGTCTGCAGGTCTGCTTTTTGGCCAGCACAGTGTTTTAAAACGTTGGATTTTGATTCCAACTTTTTACAGTGGGGCATGCACTCTTAATGTGGCAACTAGCGTTCTACTTCAGATATTCTTAGCCTCAAACATTCTGTGCTTTTCAAGGCCTTTGTGTTGTCAAATCCTGAAAACAGTAAAGGTAGAAAATGTTCTTATGCCACCTCTTATTGTGGTATTGGAGTCAGTGTGTAAGGTTTGAGTCAATCATGGTATTTTTCCAGTAAACAGTTTTGCCAAGAATGTATACCCTATAACCTCTATCCAATCTGCTTGTTTTATGCCAATGGATAAGAATTTAATGTTGATTTAAATGTATTTTTGAAATCTGTGCTTGTCCAACACACAGGACAGTAGGGGTTAATGAAAATAGAATTGTTGTGATATAGGCTTTTGTAAAAAGAAAAAGCAGTCGTGGATAAAATATTTTAATTGGTGCTTAAAATGCCCATCTATTAATTTGTATTGTTTCTCTGAAATTGTGATTAGACATTTTACAAGTTACAGTTTGAGCAATGAGAGTACAATTTGAATTCTAAATTCTCAGCATTTTCCCTCAATCTTGAATGGTGGGAAAGAGGAATAAAACACTGGGAAGCCTTCTAATTTTGACAGTATGATCATGAACTAAAGGCAGCAAGGGATTGTAAACTAATCTTAATATAGTTAATGTTTAATAGAATGCTTTGGGTACAATCAGGTTTTTTAAAGACTTTGAGGTTTTTTTTTGTAATATGTTTTATGATTTTTAAAAATTATGCAGTATGCAAAAGGTATAAAGTGAAAAAGTATGGGTCTCTCTGTGACTTTATTCTCACACCCCAAAGGAATATAATTGCTTGTATTCTTGTATAATCTTTCAGAAATGTTATCATTTATATATCTATATATATATATGCCTCTCACTGTCCTTTCTTATTTTAAATGTTCAGTTTTGTGACTTGGTTCTTTCTGTTTAACTTGATTATCTTTCCATATTACCATATCCAGCTCTAATTCATTATTTTAATGGTTCTAGGATTCCATTATATGGATGTCCCTTTGGAAGAACATTTGCTTATAGACTTTTCTACTAAAAATATTGTTACAACGAGAATATCCTTATGCATTATGAAGATTACTCTTGATTCTGCCTGGCTAGAAACTTTCAATAAAATAGATATCATTTTATTTTGAGGCTTACCGGCTGTTTAAGTATGATCTTGTGCTTCTATTTAAGAAATTCTTCTACTTAAGGAAGAGAAAAATTTTTCAGATTGACTTGAGATATTTGAAAAATCCTGTGCTTTTAATTAAACTGTAAAGGCAGTCAGTTCGTTGAGAGATTGTGCAGGTTCACATCTATCTTGCACCTTAATTTTTCCATTGTCTCTACCCATAACTCTTGGAGTTTCTATAAGTGTGGTTTGGGGTTATTATTATTTATTTTACTATTTGTTGTATTGTGCCTTTGCTTATCTACATTAGCCTAGACTATCCCTTATTTTTAAGAAGAGAAAATTACAGCAAAATCTATTTTTGGCGCAACCATGTTTTTCATTATTTCTTCAAAATTAGCTTTTGTTGCTTTAGATTAGAGATCAGAAATTTCTTAATATGTATTTACCATTAGTCAAGCACGGGATTATATTTTCTGCAAAAATTTTTTAAATGAAGAATACTTTTTCTAACAGCTGATAGAAAGTACCTTGTACTTTACGATTAGAAATAGGGAACAAGGGAACTTTTTCTGAGAATTTCCAAAGAAAGTGTAAGAGGACTGTTTGGAAAAAATACACCAAGATTTTTGAAGACCAATTTTAGTGCAGGATGTGATTTTAAGGTATCGGATGAAAACTTGGAGGTGATTTCAATATTCACTTCTAAAATACTTTAGTAGATAAATTTGGTTAAGTTCTTGTTCATTGTGAAAGATTGTTGGAAGAATTTTTTTCAAAATAAAGACTTCTGATTTTGTATACCATTTGAGAATAGCCTCTTTAAATGAATGTGTCACGTTATAATAAGACATCAGGAATTTGGAAGAAGAATCTTTGTTCCTTTCATCATTCACATGTATTCTTATAAAGCAACTCATGCATCTACTTCCAGCTTATCGTTTTTTATTCCATTAGTAGTTACACATTATTAACTGCCTTTGCTACTTTTTCCCTGCTTTGTAAATTACAAAACATCTGCATTGTTAAAAAATAGGACATATTTGTTACTTCCAGTATTCTTTTTTCCCTTGTAAAGACTGACCTTTTTTCTTGAGATACAAATTATTGAAGGTTGAGCATTGTAATGGGATTTTACCTACGCTACTACCTATAAAAATCAAAAAGGTAAATAGTGAACTGCCCCAGTTCTTCACACCCCTGTTCTTATTTCCCTGTAGTAGTCAATATTATTTCTTATGGATCCAACCTGATTATTCTGTACATTTTTGTTTTTTAAGTTATTTACATTAACCATTACCAGAACACAGAAAAAATTTAGTTTCCTTAGACTCAGGTGAATATTACCCAAACCACCACAACTCTGGGTTTGGGCAGAGGACAGCAAGAACTAATGTTTGCTTTTAGACTCTTTAATGAGAAAAGATCTTTTTATCCATTTCAATTTTTTTCTTAAGTGGTATGCTAATGATTTTTACTGAACTCTTGAG